AACACAGAGCGGACATTGAATTGGGAAGAATAAGAAACTAAGAAGTATCATGGTGAACCATGCTAGAGTAAAGATCACGATAGGTAGCTCAATGAATACTCGTGGGAGTGGCTAATATAAACCATAAACCCGTGTTGGGATGGGCTGATCAGACTAGCCGGAAGAAAAATGATAATAGCTGTTTGTGGATGATCTTTTCCATGGTTCTTGAGAGCACGGATGTCAAATTAATTGGTCTATAGTTAATAATATCACTACGTGATCCTGTTTTGAGTCTGAGGGTGATAAGGGAGGTTTTCCATACAAATGGACAGGTCCCATATTCCACAGATAGATTGAAAAGTTTCAAACAAAATAGTGGAAATTCTCTACTCCCATATTTCACAAATGACGGAGTTATCCCATCAGGCCCACCATCATAAGGCTTTTTCAAGGCAGCTATGGCCTGCTTGATGTTGGAGGGTATAAAATCAATTTCCGATCGATGTCTGGATGTCAGCATTGGAAATGTAATGATAGAGCTTTCAGTTCCAGTTTTGTAGCACTGCGAGAAATGCTTGCTGAATTGCGCGCATATAGTATTCGGGTCGTTAACAATGCTTCCGTTAACTATGAAGGATTTAGTCGTACCAAAGGAATTTGACTTTACACGGGATTTAAAAAGCCAAAGTGTTGATAATTCTGGGCTTTTACTACGTAGAGCTTTATTTTCTATATTCATGAAATACTTACGTTTAGACGAAGCATTTCTGTTGATTAATGTAAGTATACTCTGAAGTGCATACACATCATTCGGCTCGTTTTAGCGGCATTTTAATTTCCTCAGCTTTCTTGGCAAAGTATTCTGGCCTTTATTAGCATTTTAAGCTAATTAGTTAATAACTGGAGCAGTGCGGTCAAGGCAATTTATCAGGCTGTGATATAGATTGGAAAGCGCAATGTCAGAATTATTTGTGGTAAAATAAGTTTTTCATGGTAAACATTGAATGACAGTTCCAGTCCGTTTCCAGGTTTTTTGATCAAAATTTCCGCTCTGGTACATCATTGAAGCTTTACAGTTCAATTGTATGGCGTTTAAATAATAAATATTACTCAATACAACTTTATGGTCACTCATAACAAACTCATCACTGGCATGCACTGAGATAGAGTCTATGTTGATTATGAACATTAAATCAAGTATATTATTCCCCCTGGTTGGTTTTCGAACCTGTTGAACCCATTCACAAATTTCTAATGTTTCAACCAGCTTGTTATATCGACGTGGTACCTGAGTCAAGCCCCATGTAATTTTTGACAGATTAAAATCACCTCCAATGATTTTAAAAGTATGCGGTTGGTGAGAAGCAATGGATCATCACCACACTTCAGTCTAAGAAGATACCCAAACTTTTGAATGCCTCATCCATAACTTATCCGGAGGTGCTAAATTTATGCATACATACGTTACAACTATCTTATTGTAAGCTCCGACAAAGAAATGCACCTCGAGGGGGACCCATCTTCATTTGCAACGACTTTAAAACATGATATTATTAAAAACAAATGAGGGTCAGCTGCTTAGAAACCTTGTTCAAAAGGGAGAAAACACATAGTAGAACAATTGCATCTTTATCGATACTGATGATAAATATCGCCAGTTAGCAGTTCAGGAATGTTCATTTTTTCCATGCATATTGCCAGCCACCACGATGTTTTTGATGGTGGTACTTTATTATAGCTTGTATGGCCAGAGGTCGTAGACTTTCTACACACACCTGAATGGGTTATACGATTACTAGGCATAATGATGTGTTTGAAGATATTAAAAACTGACAACATCCTGAAATATCTACACGACAAGAACAGGTAACCCAGATATTCAAGCAGGTCACCAGATGCTTATTGCAAGGCAGTTTGAAGTGATTTACAAGTCTTGGCTTATTACGACTGTTCGTTTATTGTGTCTCGACAACAGAAACTTCAATGTTATTAACAGTGTATGTATTTGTACTGTGGTGACCGATGTACATCACAATGCACTTGGAAGAATTTATCGTCATTTGTCAAGTTTTAGATCAATCAGATAATTTCTCCATGTCATTTTTACTCTCCGAACTATCACTATTTCGCACCGCTGTCTATACTTTGACACTATCATCATGTAACGAAACCGATTATGATATGAGACTGGGAAGGTCATTTATATTTATGAAGAATAATGCTGGCTTTAGAAATATCCCCTGAAATACTCTACCAAGCACAAATTTTCAACTGTACAAATTCAATTTCACCCGTACGCACTGCTGAATCCGTTCACCCTCATAAGTAGTTTGTCTACAATCTCAATATAACTTAGCTCGGATAATGAACTTCGTCGAAAGCCCTAATAAGGTCAATAGCGACTACATCTACAGGTAACTTTCGATCCTTAAAAGCGCATAAACTTTCATGGGCTATTATTAAGTCTGTGAAACAAGAATAATCTGTTCTAAAGGCACGATGCTGTCCAGAAAGGATCCGCTTTTTGTCTGGATACTTACATAACTTTTTCCAAGAAAGCTTTTCTAAAATTTTAACAACCACACTGGTTAGGCTTACTAACCGATAATTCTTAGATTCATGTATCGTCTCTGTTTTAAGGATACGATTTCTATAACATTCCTCTAGCCTTTTGGTAATCAACCCTGGGTCGCGGACATATATTTAAACATATGCTTAGTGAATTTGAGAAGAATTATTCTAATTCTTTCAACAACTTAGAATGCGTTTCATCGGGTGCCACCGATTTACTTAAATTAAGCATACTTAGCAGACCCAAAACATCGAGTTCTTTAGGAGTCACTGTCCAGAGTGCGTATGGAGGAAGTTGTATGAATCGAGAGGCGGAGCATCTTCATAGTGCATACATTTCTAAAGTAATTTGAGGATACCTGAAATTTGTCATGATCGTTCCCCACTAGTAATGTATTAATACTGTTTTATCATTATGCTGGGATTCTGCATTTTCTCTTATTCCACTGGTTAATTTATGAATATAAGCGTTTAGGGTACTCCATAGACTCCCTAAGAAGCTTTACTGAATACAATCTTCTGTGCTTGCGAATGGTCGGGTCGTAAATATTTCCAGCTCCCAGCTACTTAGATTATGTTTCATCAGTAACCAGTAACCTAAAGATCTCCCTCACTATTGTTATATCAATGCCTGTGAATACTACTCAGCACACTTATGGAAGGTAAAGAATAAACGTAAGAGATCTTAATTTAAACTTAAAATTAATAAAGGCTTTGTAACTTTCAGAATGATGAAACTAACTAAACTAAAGCCCCTTTGCTAAAATCACACTTTGTGTTGGTGCGCTGGATTAGCTCATTCCGAACTGACGTGCAGTTAATCCAGTGTTTTCAGTTTTTTCAAGAGAGCAGAATAAAAAGTGCTAGAAATATAATCACTACTTCACAGGCCAAATTATGCTGTCTATTCATCTCTGCGCGTTGTTTCATTGACTCAAGCCGTTTTTATCCACTATGTTTCAGTACTGTTAACCCTTAGCATTTTTCGCTGGCATTTAAATAGTAAATATGTAACTGTTAGTTACGCCATCCAACTTCTCATGAAGACACTAAGATCATTAGGATTTCATAAGTCACTTAAGATTTTAAAATTACTTTCTTTTGGCAGAGACTGAAGAGACAGATTAACCGATAGATTATATCCAGGCACAACAAAAAATTGTCTTGAAAGCAGAAATTTTTCGTGACTCATTTAAAATGTGAATCCTGCATTACAGAACAAATTGTTATGGTTTTCGGTGGACGTGGTGATTAAGCAGAGATCAGCTTATGCTCTCAGATTTAAACTCAAAGGAGTTCATGATTTTCTTTAAAGATTTGCATAAGCTTATCATTATTATTCACAAACATCTTATGGGTACATAAGTGTTGTGAAAAAGCCATTTTAGGTTTCTTCAAAAATGTAATAATACACAAGTTTCAATAATGTTAGTATTATACTTGCCATATTTAAAAAATAGAGTAATAATAGTAGAATAATAATAATAATAAATCAGGTCTTTGTAATTGAGAAGAATATTGAATTGAGTTTAAAGAAGAAAATGGAGAAAATGAGGGAATAGAAATAAAGGAGACGTGAAATACGCAAATAGTTTAATAGGCGTGTTTATGAACACAGAACAGAAATAAACGACTATGTGTGTATCGTCAAATTAGTAAAAAGAAATACAAAATACAAAATAATTAAGAAAAATTAGCTTATCATTGCAGTAAGATATGACGCTAGAATAAATGTTTGTGCAGTTATAGTTTAGAGAGGTATGTACTTATAAAAATTGTGCATTGTCAGTATCATGTTGTGGTTGCACATGGTCAACTGCTCCGTATTACAAAGCCTACCTAGAAAAAAACAATGATGAGAAGCGTATAGACCATGGTATCCATTAGAAAGCCTTGGATGAGTTCAATAATAGCCAGTTCCACATTTAATCTGGTTTAATTAACTGGCTCATATTGGCGCTTTATGAGTGTGACAACAAAAAACTTGAGAGAATTGATAGTAAGCGTTCAGTTTCTTTAAACCTATCAGCAAACTAACCTGCTGTCTTTATATATCCATATACTCACAACAAACATGTGATCAGATATCTGACAACAATTCCAAATGCTATACAGTTTTTAGTGACTAGAGTTTTCAGATCTTGAAGTCGTTTCCTTATGTGCTCAGCATAAAAAAAATTCAGCTATCAAGTATCGTTGGATATATACACTTATACACGGATAAATTGAGCAGTCATCCAAAAAACATAAATCACAATAGTCTTGAATAATCCGGCATAATTTCATAGACGAGGTTGATACATTGTGCTTCGTTTGCGCTATATAAAGACAATATAAGTCTGATTTAGAGTTAATAGCCACAGTCACGTGAGGCAAAATAGTTCAAATCAACATTTATCGACCCATTTTTCAAACCTGTATAGAATTCCATTTATAAATACTAGCTGTGTGAATATACCTGATTAATAATTCTGCACTGATAACTAACGCTTATATGGGAGGAATTGGTGGCTCTGTTGACAAACCTCCAAAATTTATTTACAATCTATGTGGGACATGTTGTACAGCTCAAGGCTATGGGACTCTTTGTTTTATTTGTCTTATGCCAATATGCGCATTTGAGGAAATAGTCAAAGACACAACCAGAATTCGGCGTCCTTTTTCGTACCTATACGCCTATATCATGTCAATATTCTCATGTTGTTGCTGGGGTCCCATATTAGGGTGTTCTAGAAAATCGTTTCGACGCAGACGTGGGATACGTGGATCAATATGTTTGGACTGTTGCATTGCATGTATCTTACCTTGCTGTGTAATGACTCAGATGCTGAGTGAGCTAAGAGAAAACAAATTTGACGATCCAGATACTTCTAAATCAGGATCAGTTGCGGAAAGTGAAAATTGATAATGATCATAAGTACATATGGACTGGTAATAGATATTAAAGAATTTACATATACAAATATGAATAAGTGATATAAAATATATACATTTAAAGACCACTATATGCATGCTTTTTCACGGATAGTTTGTAACTTAGAGGGAGGATTTCTTAAAATATTACGTTACGTGAACTACACAAAATGGTTAGATGTAAATTTAAGAACGCTATTAGTCATGCGAAACATTCACTTAACCCAGGTAATGTGCAAAATAAAATGGTTCACTTGTGTAGATAGAGAAAAACAGCCCAAGGGAAGTACAATGCGAACTAAGGCTACTATCAAGCGACTTAATATGTACCGTAATTTCAAGGCCAAAAGGTTTGTATGGCTTACTTGTACGATGTTGACGTAGGAACAAAAATGGGAAAATAGTTCGCCCTGCACCTTTTCAATCAACTCTACCCTCCGGTACAGTTGCACGGGTCGAGCCTAATAGACGATGGTTTGGTGGGTTGGCTCTTGCAACTAATAGGCGTATTTAGGCAATACACGTGTTATAAGTCAAGATACGTTACAAAGTTTCAAAGAAGCAATGAAGATCCGAAATCCCTACGAAATTATTTTACGTCAAACTCGCTTGCCTATATCACTTTTGGATGAGAAGAAGACGGTATTAGTTTACTTGTGTTATATTATGTTGTAGAAAACTAAAAGTGCTCTTTTAACATCACAGAGCTATTCCTATGTATTTGGGGATAAAGCACAGCGCAAAAGACCTTCGTTGGAGTTTGATGATCTGTCGGTAAATTATTTATGTCTTTCGTTTGCCTATTTTCTGAATCAAGCTGTCTTACTTTTTTGGTAGATCTCCCGAGTAGTAAATGCTCTTTAAATAACTATAAACGCTGTAGTCTTATCGGATGATTTAATGACGATATGCACAAGTTGCATTAAATAGTAACAAGCAATCCCCTAAACAATTGTCTGATATAAGTTGCTGGAACAGTATGTTGTGATCACAATGGAATGTATTCAGTTAATAATTTGCGTCCCAGGTTTCCAAGATTTGAGATTTCAATTGTTGGCGGAAGTACTGGAAAGTCTTATTCTCTTAGTTTTTATTGGTATCGACATCTTAGTGGCAATGGTAGTAGCACTGCATGTAAAACGAATTCGGCGCTGTTACAGCCTGTCAGGCATACATTTTTCCGTATGCTGATAAAGTCTGGCGCCTCAGATCTAATGATATACCTTGGTTTCCCGTTAGTCATTGATTATTGTAGTGCAGGACACATTGGCAACTGGATGTAGTTACTGCTACCGTTCGGTAGTGTATGTTACTATCTCATAACTTTACCATTTCTTTAGGTAATTGCCATCTCTTTTATGTGATGTTTTTTAGTGCTTCATGGCACTAAAACTGTTGTATGTAAACAAATCAAGGTTTCTATTAACACAAAAGCTACATACTTGCTTTTTAGTTGTTAATTAAGTTCAGTTGATGAAAATAACTTCATGGTAGCTAGACACGATTCTTTGAATTTTGTTGCAACGCTGAATAAGTACTGTTTGACTTAACTTTGTCACATATGTTTGGACTGTACATCAATTACTAAGTTTGTTCTGTTCAATACAAATGATCTTCAGAATTCATTAGAAATATAAAGTTTTGCTCTATCTTTTGTTAAGAAGATATTTAACTACTTGTTTACTGAATGACAGGTAAGATTATTGTAACAAGTACTCTGGTGTTGGATTTTCAAAACGTTTCGAAGATAATGATTATTAGCGCTACCATTTGACGTAACTACCTGTTTGTTAGAATATCATGATATCCTTCAATAAAAGTAGAAAGCAAATAATTTCTTGATTTACTCTGTATCGTTCGTGACCACATTATCGACGGACTTGTTTGCATTCATGTAATTTTCGTCAAATCATTTTTCACCCTTTCAATAGTACACACGTCAATCAATTAACACTTAATATTTTCGTGTTCTTTAGTCATTTGTACAACATGCTGAGTCGAATCAGCATTTGTATAACTCGACGGATGATAAACATATGGTTCGATGTGATGATGGTGTCCGAGAATTAACACAGGATCCTCACTTCAAAGCTGGTCGATCGAAGAGACTATGGAATGAGTTATTTAAGGTAAGTTTCTAAGACATTTAACGGCGAGACTCTAATTTATGGACGACCTTTGAACGAATCTTAAGTGACTTTGAAAAATGTTAGCCAATCGGCAAACAGTCAGTGTAGAGTAAAAATATATTATACAAAACCAGGGAAATAAAGTGGATACGCTTCTTATACGTGGTTCAAAAACTTATCAAGGTTAGAAAGAGGTTCTGAGGTTGTGAAATCGTAAAGCGTGCAGTAGAGGAAATCATCCATACAGCCACAGAATAGTCGGCCTCTGGAGCCATGATAAAGTCTCAAAAACCCTTTCAGCCTCCACTACATAGTTCTAATATTGTTTATGTGTACTTCAGCTGTTGAGTACACAAAATGCTACTTGTGGACAGTGACACGATGCACATAACCAAGCCTATGTAGGAATCTGTACGCTCTCCAATCATCCGAATATATTGTAGTACCTGGCTGCAACCAGTGTTACTGGTGCTTTTATAATCTAGTTCGCGATAGTTGTCATAATTTGCCGTATTTAGGAATTATATATGCGGTCTTCATCACGAACGACATCAGCTATAATGCCAGGAGTTTATATAGCCAAAAGGATGAAAGGCTTTCGCATTAAAATCCGAGATCTATTATCTTATGCTTGATTGATTCGTTCACAAATTATAGTCTCGCCGTTTTTGTTATAGCCGCTCAGTTATCGCGTTTTCTACAAAATTCGTTATGAACCTATCGCACGTTAGTATAAAGCACTGGAGTTGGCGCCGTAACCTTGAAATTTTTAAAACGCTTCTGATTGGCTCGTCCATAAATTAAAGTCTCGTCCATTTAACTATTATACAACATTCAGCTTGTTAGTTTGTTTCAAAGCCTCATTAACTATAGATTTATATTTTTTGTAACAATAAAGCTAATTTAGTCTATTTCATGATCCTAAAGCACCACCACTTACAGTGTATAATAAGACCTATTAGTACATTAATGCGATCTAGCGCAATTCGAAACATTAGAAAGAAACTATACTAACGGTATCAATGTCTTGGAATAAACAGGAACATCACATCTATGTCGCTAACGTTTGTTCTACACCATCCTATCTGAGACCTTCAACTATCGATTTCTATTCGTGATTTCCAGTCGGAAAGCCCTACCGTTGCTGTTACCTTGACGTGATGTTCGGGCTTGCTTATCGTAATGAACCAACCGAGCTATACTGACTGGGACAATCGTTCCTCAAGGTTCTACCCTACAAGATAGGTCGGTTGAAAAGCGGTAAGGCTAAAAGCAGCAAACCCAAGGTCCGAAGGCAAAGTCGTACTGCTGACTACACAGAGGTGTGACGGAAGTGAGGTGTTTCCTTCAGACCAGTATAACAGCGGCGCTGCCTTCCCACAAGGAGGGATGGGGTTATAAAAGGTCGACCCTAAAAATGCACACCTCGCCATATCCCACGGATATCCGTCTCCAGCGGTAAGGTCTCAAAAAGTACGAATTTAACATGAAAATTACCCACAACGTGTGTGGCCGACCTCAAGCAGTTGTCCCTTGCTCACTGCTGTTAGGTCACTAAGGCCACCCGTAACCCGATTTCCTTTTCAGGTACCTCTAGAGAACCCTCCCACAATGTGGGCAACCGGGAAGTGGTAACTGTTCTCATACCTCTAACAGCACTCAAGACCATTGAGTTGGAAAGACTGGCCATTTGAGATAAAGTAACAAGAAAACAATTTCTTATTAATGAGTTAGTAAACTGAAATGTACTTATGTACAGAAAACGAGACATTATTTCCTTCACCCAATATCTTGTTCTGGTTGTTATAAGACTTTCTACATAATTCTATTTCATTCAAACATTATTCTCACTTCTCCCACAATCAATGAACATTTCGGTGACTAAAAAATTTCCCACGTGTGAACAATCGGATGGTCATTCTTGTATGGGATTAAGTTTTAAGGGAGAGATTAGTTATATTTTAAGAACATACGTCGGGTGGTGCTCATCCTTAGTCACTAACTAATCCAAAGCAAAATACTTATTAAGAGATATGCACAATGTGTATTAGTTGCTTGCGTCGATACAGGTTAATAAAAATTTTGTTTCCTGTTCTCCTTGTCAATTATTTCTTTCTGTGATATTTCTAAGTGGTATTAACTGTTATTTCTTACCATTCATAAAAAAGCAATCACAATACAGTCCCCATCTTTATTTTATGTTACTCTATCATACTATCACTATTTTGCTGTACACTTGATAAAATCGCAGCACATAAATTAGAATTCCATTCACTGACATAATTCATCGTAGAATACGTACACAGTGTATTCTCAGATTCTGACCTATGCTGGATAGCTACATCACAGTATTAACGTTACTGCCGACAAGAATGATCCTTATATAGTCGGTAAGTTAATCTGTGTTCTCGGAGATACATGCCCCGTTTAACAGGAAAAAGTACTAAGCCTTTATTCTTAAATTCGGATATATCTTTTTATATTTTCAGGATAGTTCTTAAACGTTAAAGTAGTATGGTGTGTAATTAACTTATCCAGTGGTTTGTTACATTAAGATGCTTCAAGCAATAGATTACTTAACATTCAGTTCGAAACTTTTTAAACCTACCAAGTCAGTCTGTTATACTCAACATAGAGCTTGGGACAAATATGAATCAGGTCAACTTATCACTAACTTTTATGTACGCTTCCAAACTCGAGACTTATTGCTTCAGCTATATAAAGAGTTAAAGCTATGTTATTATCACTAATCTCTTGTGCCAAATGCCCTGATATGGCCGAAAGTGGGAAGAGTCGGTTCTCCTCGAAGTGCTCTCACATGGTCATGCGCTTACAGACACTGCCAGACAAGTCATACTAATTGCCTTCTCGCTAAATGGAGAGGACGAAAAGTGAATAACCGGAGCTTTAACGGAGGGCCCATCTAATGGAGTTGAAAAACTCCGACTCCAAACCAATGGTGCACATGGGCTCCAGGATCTTGAGGAAACTGTTATAACTTGTACCCTGCGTCCCATTAATGTACAACGGAGTGACACCGCCAATCAGAAAACAGTGGATTATCGACCGGACCAATGACACATAAAACAAGTACGAGCAGTCTAGAATCCTTATCGGTCCTTCTTCCCGCCTATCCCTGCCTGTTAAGTTCAGAACATCAATCTCAGCCCCTGCGATATGAATCATTTATTTCAAACATACTGGGGTTATATATCAACCAAACAGACCATATCGTACCATAAAATAAGAAACAAAATTTGCACGAGATTTAGCCAAAAGTGGCTGTGAATGTTGGGGACTATAATTAGTAAATCGGGAATAACTTAAGAATGGTAAATCGTATAACATTAGTTCATAGGTCAAAATAAAGCTCATAATAAAATAGACACTAATATGAATAGTATAGTTACTTAACAATTAAACGATAAAATATACGTATAGTATTGGTCCATAAATGGATCCTCAAAGTTACCATTCGTTATTCCCATCGGGATATAACAGGAACCTATTTTTGACCACCGGATTCCGTGGGACCTCTTCTCATCGTTGCTTCACTGTGTTGTGGAATAGATCTCTAGGTCAAAGGTTCCGGGAACGGCCCCCTAAGGAAACCACTCTTTCGGTCTGGGCATCCAACCAGTATGCCAGCTCACACAAAATAAATGGTAGCTACTTTGTGTGGCGCATATCTATTTGGCTACCGCTTTGTACCAATGTTACGTGTTTATATAATAATAAATGAAACATTCCGGAACTCTCTCTAATAATAAAAAAGTAATTTAACTCTTTCACTAGGTACTTGGGCATGAAGTACACTCTAAATGTGAGAGTTAATACTACTACCCAGCTGCCTAAACTTAAGTAGATGGAGAAGGGTTCGGACCGGAAACGTAATGGCTGAAAGTTAAATGCTTTAACCAATAGGCTACCGCTCCATGAACTTCATTTAGCATTATTATATCATTAGATATTAAAAATATACCAACTGTTTGTGTATTTTCTGTGTGACGTTTTAAACGATTTTTTACTGTCTGAATGTTTATTTCTAGGTTTTAGACTCTTCAGATGTTGTACTGTATATTTTGGATGCGCGCGATCCAATGGGCACTAGATCTCCTTATATTGAGAAGTACTTAAAAACTGAAAAACCACATAAACATTTCATTTTCATTATCAACAAAGTGGATTTAGTCCCTGTGTGGATAACAGTAGGTTGTATGTATTCTTTTCCTATTTTTTATTCCTTTATTAAAAATCATGCTATCGCAATTCTTTTGATGCGCGTCTTAGTAAAATGATCCGGTTGTACCTAAGTGAAATTTCATCTTGAACTATACAGTCCCCCCTAATGTACCTAATCATGATAATATTATTGGTTTTGCATTATAAAATTAATAAAATATCTGGAAATAAACATAATCTTAAAAGTTGTTTTGATTCATGGAACAGCTCGTGTACTAGATTTTCGATGATAGGTAATGGTAGTATGGATATAATGTATAAAGTCAAACTTCGCATTGCAGAAAACTAGAAGGGTATAAAATGATGTGTCTCCTGAATTTATTTTGTCACATACCGCTGATCGCCATTTATGTATTACATAATATGCTCTGTATTCCTTTTATTCAGTAAATTGAATTTCTGTTAGTTATTATATTTGATAATAATACTTTGTTGGCAAAATTGTGGCTTGATGCTCTGACAAGAATCACTACACTGGGCTTGAATACTTAGATATTAGCAAATTTTTTCTATACTTCGGTCAAACTCGAAAATTGGATTATAGGTTAGCTTACACCATATTGTCATTGAAATAATGTCATTTTTATTAGTGTGCTGTGGCAATAAAGCGTCATGAAATTAAAAATTTTGATTTGTTGGATAAAAAGTATAGAATGCCGAAATAAACATCCGATTTTTCAGAGTACGTGTCTCATAGTTGTTCTGTTACTTTATTCTAGGATAGTTTTTATCAAAATCTATATGGTTAAAAGCATCAAGTAAACATCTGATGATTTGTTAATCTGAACGCGTGAATTGTTACGAGTTAGTGCTATTACAGACATATCTGAGCCAATTTCCTTTTTTTTTAAATGCTTAAATTCTACCCAGTTATTCGGGTAAACTGTTATTACTTAAGATCAAGAAACAACTCACAATCCAAAGCTTGGAAAACAAATAAATGAAACCTATTTACGCTATTACCTCCATACTTCCCTTTTATTGAATATAAAGTTGTTCAACCCATTGATTATTGTCTACTTCCGGTTAATAACAATCCCATAGAACTCTGTCTGATTATGCTATTATTGGCTAATTAATTACTTTACAGTTTTCTTTTTTCGAAACTAAAATATATTACCTATTGCCCTATATTAAGAAAAAATTCTATCCTACACTGTTTATATTTAATTGAAAATTCATTCAGTGTCTAACCTGCTTCGGTTTCGGCACCCGGGCAGTATCCAAGCCCTCACATAAATTGAATGATTTATGTGGCGTATATCTATTTGGTGCTTCCTTGTACCAATGTTTAGGTGTTTAAATAAATAAATAGGACCATTATTACCAGATGTGTTCATGGCACATTCTGAAAATTTGGCTAAAGACTTAACTATTAATCCCCATTATGACTTACCTGTAGTATACTTGAAAACAATTGACTGAATTCAGCAAATTACTACACTTGAATGATGGCTGTAGCAATAAGTACAATATAGTTTATAAATAAATTATCGGTTTCACTTTTGAGTGCTCACTGACCCCCCATAGATCCAGTTGCAGTTCTGCATCCAACTCAATAACTGCATAACTTTTGGTAGGTATATCTTGACTGACAAACTGTCCCAGTGTCCTAATATTCTATGAGTAAGTAATCCTGTCACAGAGCATTTTGTGATTATAACTTTAAGTTCAGCGTGTCATCAGGTTGAGAAGGTTAACACTTAGGCCTGTAAATATATTGTTGTTAGTCATATTATATTCATAACTTGATTATTCATCAGTGTGATTTTATCCTTCTGACATATGGAAGTTTATAGTTCGAAGTCTCTCACTTCGGGAACTCGATTTAGGACTCAGAGCTGACTCACTGTTATTATTAGATACGATTTCTTCATGCTGATCAATTTGAAGTATAGAGTGGTTTCCCTTTTCTGATACTTAGTGTTCGTCTGTCTATACACTGGGATTTGTGCTAAACGTACTAGTCATGATTGTCTTTTAGAACCATCTAACAATCTATTTATTGAGCTCACCATGGAATACTTTTTCGTTATTCGATCCGTAATTTTAGGAATCTTAATGTGTCGTGAGAAATAACCTTCAACCTAACCATTGCTTTTCAAAGTCACCAATGGTAATCTACTTAACTCGTTTCAAGTTTTATTCTGGCCAACGGTAATATATGCATTTATATATGTTTTTCAGACGAACATTTTCTGCTATATCTTTTATTACATATAGAAACGATGGAAAGCTATCTTATCTGAAGAATATCCCACACTTATATTCCACGCTGATATGACTAAGCCTTTGGGTAAAGTGGCTCTCATGGGACTTTTAAGGCAAATGGCATCACTTCATAGTAAAGAACGACCACAAATATCGGTTGGTATCATTGGTTATCCAAATGTTGGAAAAAGTAGCATCATTAATGCTCTTAGGTAAGTTGTGTATTGTCTTTTGCTCCCAAAAGTACCTTTTTAACAATATACCCACTATTACGTTTATATATATATATATATATATATATATATATATATATATATATATATACGCTTGTACTGTGTCACCCGAATTCGATTTCTCATCAGCACTTCGCTACATCGTGTCGACGAAATTATTTACAAGTGTATAATCATGTAGGCGCTTTCAGTTTATTAAATTGCATTAGTTCATTTGTAATGAAGGAATTTCTTCAATCAGCTTTTAATCATTCCTGTCTCTGTTACTGACATACATGGTGTTAGTACAAAACGATAAAATTACAATTACTTCTTAATAAATGAACTCACAATTGAAACTGAATGAGAATTGATTATTACTTAAGATTTTAATTTTGGTTAAAAACAAGTAGTGTAGTATAACATTTTCTGTAGGCAAACTTGGTGGATAAAAACTAATTCGGCCATCGTCTTAAACTGGCGTTTTATATCGACCGCTTAATTTACTAAGTATAACTTCTAAGCTATAGACTGTCATCAGTACACAATGCTTATCAATACTGCTTTTTTTATTTTGCATTTATTATTTCAAGAAATAAAAAAGTTTGTAATGTCGCCCCGTTGGCTGGCGAAACAAAAGTATGGCAGTATGTTACTCTAATGAAATCTATATTCTTAATCGATTGTCCCGGAGTTGTCTATCCTGATGGTAATACTGAAGCAGAATTAGTTATGAAAGGAGTTGTAAGTAATGCCATTTTTGTGAATTAAAATAGATTGATATAAAATGTATGTAGTCAACCAAGTGTTTGCCTATCATTCTGTACTTGTACCTCATTAAATTTTCCTGGACTTTTGAAGAAATAATACACTATTGCTATGAGTATTGAGGATTATGAGTGTGGAAAGTAGTGGATCTTTTGATGGTATTATGAATGTATGTGTAAATGAATAATTAAAATCTTCTGGATGGCTTGCATGTGCTATTTTATCAGATACAAACCATTTGCTCCATTCATATCCTTCCCCTTGTATATGACTTAGCAAGACAGGCAGGTACATTAGAATCCACACACATAAACAAACGTGTAGAAGCTCTGCAGTACCATATCTAGTACATATGCTATGCAATGAACAAATTTTAAAGGCTAATCTATCCTAAAAGATCTTTTCTGTTGAATACGTATAGCATTTATTATTCAGTCATCACTTTTGTCTTTTCTCTCACTCTATCGTCGTGTTGACATTTATTTGTACAGTATCCACATCTCAAGGTTATCGTTATATATTTCCAAGCCTATTGTAGCCCTCAATTATTCTCTTTCTTTAAAGTCTTGAACCGATCAATGTTTAACCGCCATTGAAACCCTGGCAGCACTGGACGGCCGCCCCAACCTCCTTCATTCGTATTAGCGATAGATTTCTGTTCGGAAGGTGATCTTTCTTGTCCGTGTACAAAACTCGTTTTCGGTCGTAGATCCCGAACCAATCAAGGTAGTTATGTTGTTGTGCCGCATAATTGAGATGTGTTGTTGAAATTATAAAGAGCTTTAGTGGTGTCCAATTCTCCGGAAAATCAATGTAAAGTTACCCAGTAGTTAGGTTGTTTGACTTTCATCCACCGATTCCCAGGCTCAAACCGCGCTCCACCCACTGCAGTTTGGGCAACTTGTTGGTGCTGCTAGCCTTTACAAATATTGTCTTTTCCGGAGCCAAGTGCATGAGGGCTTGCTTGGTAAATGAGTTAATAAATTCAGTTCTTTGACATACCCGATAAATGAAATTGCATAAAATGTCCCACTGCTTATAAATTTAATATTCCTTCACTGTACACTAATATTTTTTCCCTTTAGGTGAGAGTAGAGTACTTACAGCAGCCTGATCTGTATATTCGTGACGTATTGGAACGTGTTAAACCGGAATTTCTACAAGCCAAATATAATCTACCACCATTGTCATCAGACGATGTTCAGAATTATTTGCAAAAGCAAATTACGGATAATGAAGCAAATAATGAAAGCAGTAAGGATATTAATTCAACTTTATCACAATCCTCTACTACACCTTTATTATGGAATGACTATCCAGAATTATTTTTAGAAACCTTGGCTCGACAAAGTGGTAAATTACTAAAGGTAATTGAAAATTTGTTATCATTTTGTATAATATGTGTCTAGTCAGCTTTATTAACCTATTATGAAATCCGACCTTTATGATACACGTCACTTAATAATGTTCGTTTACGACGCCCAACTTGCCAATTATCGTTTTTCCCTTAATTGATAATGTGATTATGGTACTATGACACTTGCTTTTGAAGTATGAGAGAACAAAGGATTTTTTAGTTGGGGCGGCCAAACCAAGACGTATTGTCAGTTTACGAAGCTATTGATTATTATCAGACTAAGACATATCGGTAGATATAGACTATCTGGTTTAGCGTCTTTGAATTGTCCTTAACAATGTTTAGAAACGCCGTGATATGACTGAGAATTAGTAGCAGTGGCGTAGATGAATTCAACCTTTGTTTTCGTTTAGATCCTTCAGCAAATTCACTTTTTGAATCGTATTGTCTACAGCTTATCCTTTCTATTACCACTGATATTGTTACTATTTCTACTACATTGACACTTGTCTTAATAATCTTATCTTTGTTGATATGGTATGGTAGCTTGAACGAATATATATATATATATATATATATATATATATTACTTACTTACTTACGCCTGTTACTCCTCGTGAAGGAGCATAGGCCGCTCACCAGCATTCTCCATCCAACCCTGTCCTGGGCAATCCTTTCTAGCTGCGTCCAGTTGTAATTCATCGTTTTCATATCTGCTTCTATTATCCGACGCAATGTGTTCTTTGGCCTTCCTCTTTTTCGCTTCCCTTCAGGATTCCAAGTTAGGGCTTGTCTCGTGATGCAGTTTGACGATTTGCGTAATGTATGTCCTATCCATTTCCATCGTCTTTTCCTAATTTCTTCTTCAGCTGGAAGTTGGTTTGTTCTCTCCCACAGAAGGCTATTGCTGATGGTATCCGGCCAATGGATGTTGAGTATCTTGCGTAGACAACTATTTATAAATACTTGTACCTTCTTGATGGTTGTTGTTGTAGTTCTCCAAGTTTCAGCTCCGTACAGTAGAACTGCCTTGACGTTGGTATTGAAGATTCTCACTTTGATATTGGTTGAAAGTTGTTTTGAGTTCCATATGTTCTTTAACTGTAGGAATGCTGTCCTTGCTTTGCCAATCCTTGCCTTTACGTCTGCATCTGAACCTCCTTGTTCATCGATGATGCTTCCTAGGTATGTGAAGGACTCTACATTTTCCAGAGTTTCGCCATCAAGAGTGATTGGGTTGTTGTTCTCCGCTTTGAATTTGAGGACTTTGGTTTTCCCTTTGTGTATGCTGAGGCCTACTGATGCAGAGACTGCTGCTACACTGGCTGTCTTCATCTGCATCTGTTCGTGTGTACGTGATAGGAGTGCTAGGTCATCTGCGAAGTCCAAATCGTCTAATTGATTCTGAGCTGTCCATTGAATTCCGTGTTTTCCTTCAGATGTCGAGGTCTTCATAATCCAGTCGACCACCAGAAGAAAGAGGAAGGGAGAGAGTAAACAGCCTTGTCTGACTCCGGTCCTTACTTGGAATGCATCTGTCAGCTGTCCTCCATGCACGACTTTGCACTGTAGTCCGTCGTATGAGTTCCGGATAATGTTGACAATCTTCTCAGGAACTCCGTAGTGTCGAAGAAGTTTCCATAATGTCCTCCTATCCACACTGTCAAATGCCTTTTCATAATCAATGAAGTTGATGTATAGTGATGAGTTCCACTCAACTGATTGTTCGACGATGATCCGTAGTGTTGCAATTTGGTCTGTGCATGATCGATCCTTACGGAATCCAGCTTGTTGATCTCGAAGTTGGGCGTCTACTGCATCTTTCATTCGGTTCAGCAACACTCTGTTGAAGACCTTCCCTGGTATTGACAGCAGTGTAATGCCTCTATAGTTTTCACATTTGCTCAGATCTCCTTTCTTTGGAATCTTGACGAGGTGCCCTTCTTTCCAGTCCATCGGCACTTGTTCCTCCTCCCAAATCTTTTTGAATAGAAGATAAAGCATGTTTGTAGTTGCTTCGATGTCTGACTTCAGTGCTTCAGCTGGTATGTTGTCCGGACCCGCTGCTTTCCCGTTCTTGATTTGTCTGACGGCCATTCTGATTTCTTCCTTCGTTGGTGGGTTGACGTCTATGGGAAGATCTGTGTGTGCCGCTTCGATGTCCGGTGGATTCATTGGAGCCGGCCTATTCAGGAGTTCCTCGAAGTATTCTACCCATCTGTTCCGCTGTTGTTGAATTTCGATGATTGGCTTGCCTTCTTTGTCTTTGACCGGTCTTTCTGGTTTACTGTATTTTCCTGCTAGTTTCTTCGTTGTATCGTAAAGCTGTTTCATATTTCCTTCTCTAGCAGCTTTTTCTGCCGTCGTTGCTAGTTCTTCCACATATTTCTTCTTGTCGGCTCTAATGCTCCTCTTCACTTGTTTGTTTGCTTCTATGTATTCAGCTTGTGCTTGGACTTTCTCTGCTCGTGTTCGGCTGTTGTTTATTGCTGCCTTCTTGTTCTTCCTTTCTTTGATCTTGTCCAGTGTTTCTGTAGAGATCCATTCCTTATGATGGTATTTCTTTGGACCCAGAACCTCTTGACACGTTGAAGTCAATGCTTCCTTGATGCCTTTCCAGTTGTCCTCCATACTAATTTCTTCTTCTTTCAGTAGATCTTGTAAGGCTTGGAACCTGTTGTTGAGAGCAATCTTGAATTCATTGAGTTTGTCAGTATCTCGAAGGAAGGCTGTATTGAACCTTTGTATTGCTGTTTGTCCACTTGTCCAGTTCTTTTTTAGCTTCAGTTTTAAATTGGCCACAACTAGGTGGTGATCTGAAGCTACGTCAGCACCTCTCCTGTTTCTCACATCTTCCATTGTTCTTCTAAATTTTTTGTTGATGCAAATATGATCTATTTGGTTCTCTGTAGTGTGGTCCGGTGAGATCCATGTAGCCTTGTGTATACGCTTGTGTGGAAATATTGTGCCTCCTATGACCAATTTGTTGAATGCACATAGATTTGCAAATCTTTCTCCATTTTCGTTTCTTTCTCCCAGTCCATGTCGTCCCATAATATCTTCATATCCAGTGTTGTCTATTCCGACTTTGGCATTTAGATCTCCCATCAGAATAGTTAGGTCCTTCCTTGGGCATTTCTCAATAACTGACTGCAGCCGCTCGTAGAACTGATCTTTAATGTCGTCGTTGCTATCATTTGTGGGTGCATAACATTGGATAATATTCATTAAGATCCCCTCCTTCTTTGTTTTGAATGATGCTTTGATGATTCTGGATCCGTGGGATTCCCATCCTACAAGTGCATTTCGTGCTAATTTGGACAGCATAAGAGCGACTCCCTGAGTGTGTGGAGCATTGTCCTCTTCGTGACCGGAGTATAGCAGCATCTCTCCCGTAGCTAGCCTTTTCTGTCCAGCTTGGGTCCAGTGGGTTTCGCTGATTCCCAGTACGGCTAAGTTGTATCTCCTCATTTCCAATGCTATTTGACTGGTCTTCCCGGTTTCCCACATTGTTCGAACGTTCCATGTACCTATAAAAATTTTTGCTCTGGTTGTTAGAAGGGGCATCGGCCTCGTGGCTTCCGAAGGAACTCGGCTTTCACCATGAAGCGTCATAATTCTTCTAAATGAAGACCTTCTAACTCCCAGGGCAGAGTTTAAATGGTTGGGATTATTTTTTCTGGTTAGCGTTTTTTTAGCGAGTTAGTTTTCTACGGGATGGGGACGCTAACCCCATGCCCAACCCTCCTCCTTTACCCGGGCTTGGGACCGGCAGTAACCCTATAAGAGCTACAGGCGGAGTTATATATATATATATATATTTATTTATTTATTTATTTCAACACATAGATAATGGTACAAAGAGGCACCAAATACATATGCGCCACACAAATCTCATCCGATGTGTGAGGGCTGTGATACTGCCCGGGTGCCCAAACCGAAGCAGGTGGTTTTCTTAGGGGGCCACACCCCGAGCCTTCAACCCAAAGGTCTGATCCACAAGGCAGTGGAGCATCGTAAGGAGATGCAGTCCCATGGAAGCCGGTGACCAACAATTGGTTCATTCGCCATTTGTTCCCGCAGGATACTGGAGCCCATGTGCACCATTGGTTTGGAATCCGGTTAAAGCGCCGGACATTCGCTTTTCGTCCTCTCATTTTCGTAAACAACACCCCCGCCACGAGAAGGCAGTGAGTAGGACTTCCCTGGCAGAGGCTATATACGCGTGGCCGTGTGAGAGTATTTCGAGAGGGAGAGCGGACTCTCCCCACTCTCGGCCGTACCAGGGCATTTATATATATATATATATATATATATATATATATATATATATATATATATATATATATATATATATATATGATAGGTTCTACGTTGCTTATGATCGACCGTATGACATACACTGCTTAACGTCAGTTCTGTTATTTTGGAATAGTAACTTACTCAATCCAATGGTTTCTTATGTTTCTTTCCGAATATGTTGTATACTCCTGTTATAACACTAAGCTTTAGATTATTATAGTCTGTTGTGTCTGTCTGATATCTACTTTGGTTTTCGTGCACATGAAACATAGCGGAAAGTTACACTTACATTATACCTGACGAACCCAGTTGGTTATTTTCTGCTTCCCGTTATTTTTAGAGCACTACTTTCCCATAATAATAAAAATTATAAGACGATAAAAATTTCGGTCAAGTAATAATTCTATCAATACGCGAATTGCACGGAGTTATATACTGAAGCGATTTCACATATATACATCAATATTCAAAAATTGTAAATAATTCTAATAACCTTCTTTAAAACAGTGACCATCAAAACTTGTGAAAGCCCTAAAGTAGTACCGGAACTTCTCACAAATCCCTCTGAAATTGCTCTACACCTACGCAGAATGTTTCACACATATAGACTGTGACTATGCAAAATCTACTCGATGTTGAAATTAACTTCGTTTTCCACCTACATTGTTGTTATATATTTTTTACGGACTAACTAGGCTGGTGAGCCGGATTTAAACACCACTGCTAAGCGTGTACTGAATGACTTTCAACGTGGTCGACTACCCTACTTTGTCAAACCACCTATGGAGGCGGAAGAACTTAAACAGAATGATGTTGTCGATGAATATCCGGAAGAAATCATCAAGGTATTATAAAAAAATTCCCCCAATAATATCTTGTTATTAATACATTTTACATTTACATTGATATAGATGATTTCTCACAGTTTAGTAAAGACAAATTAGGACCGTTTTTTGTGTCCGAATTCCCACATTTCTACATAAAACTGAGAAGTTATAAACAAGAGGATTGTACGTAATGAAAAATAGGAATATCTTATGCTTTATAAACTAATAAACCTGTTTTATGATGGATTTAACAAATGGGTAATGGTAATACTAAACGTAAATGCATTGGGGTTACAATGAGAGTAAAGCATAAAATGTATTGTTGTAAATCAACCCTATTTTCTGACTTGATACGTGTATTACTCGCAGTAGAATTATTCTACATGCCTTCGCTTATTTTAATACATAGTACCGTCGAACGCAATTTTTTCAAGTTTCTAAACATAATTTATCGTTTTGAATAAGTAGTTTGACTCTTGACATTATGGACAGAATGAAACAAAGGCAGGTCTGTGTTTTATTAGAACTGATAAAATGTTATCAACCCAGAAAGTGAGAGAGAGAGAGAGAAAGAAAAGCAGGCTACTAGTTTTGAGTTACATCCGGTATTTTCTTATTTAAACGAAGTGATGCTAAGGAGCTTTCAAACTTAAATACAGTTTTCCATGCCTGAAGTACAAAAACCAAGTAAATGTCAAAAAACTAATAAGAACGTCGTACTATGAATCTCAATGAGATAATCGAATAACAATCTACTAACTATTCCACTCCCTGTTATAAAAATCAGTTGAAAGAAAGAACTAGTTGGTAACGGATACAACGGGGAATACCAAGCCTGAGTATAATTCCAAATACCTATAAAGATAAATGGGCTTTTGTCAGTTACTGTTGATAAGATGAAATAATCGTAAAACCTAATGTAGGTTTGTAAGTTATAACAGTTATGCTATAGTAGAGACGGTATTTGTGATTTAGTTAATGAAGTAACCTCATACTGTTAACATTAGGTGTCATTCTGTAATATATTTGCCTTGTTCAAATTATTTTGTTCTGATTAATAGGACTTATCAATGGACGTACCAGATAAGGACCAATCCATTACTGATGTGATTTCTTCTACTGATACCGGTTTCGCAGAAGATTTATCCGAGACAGACTGTGTAAGTCCAATTTCCCTATTATCAGCTTTCACTAGGTAGTTTAATGACTCGTGTAATGTAAATCACTGGAAAAAAACTATAAATTGTATGAAGTAGTTTCGTAAGATTTATTGTTTGTAAAGGAACCACTACCTACCTTCACCTGTATTGTATTTTTACTGAACTTAATTATTTCGACGAATCCTTTGGTTCAAAACAATGTCACTTTAGGAATCACATGTCTTAATACATTCACATCAGAATTTACTTCTAAAACAATTAACTCGAATGACTACTCATGGTTGCTGTTACTGAATCTTATTCGTTCCCCGCTATCGGCTTTTGGGAAATACTTGTCATAAATATTTTTATTAGTACAATGTGCGGAGAACATCCTGGAGTTTTGCTACTGTTAAACTAATGTAGTAGCTTTATATGTACTTGTCGTACAGATCGTGTCAATTTCCACGTCGTTCAGCTGCCCTGTTTACACTACATCAAGAAGTTCGTACTTACCCCTCACCTATATTTTTATCTTGATCAGTACTTTGTTTTCTGTATTATTTTAGAGTGATGGAGAGTTGGAATCAAGTAACGTACTCAACTACGATCTAAACACTAATAATGATGATAGTGTTAAAGCCATAACAACTTCAAAGGAATCAGTCCAGATCTTAACATCAAAACAAAAAAGAAGTATGGACAGAGCTATACGACGTCAGAAAAATCGTGCAGGCCGTCAATTTTACAAAGAAATCCGTGATCAGCGACCTGGTAGAAGTCCTGGAGGTAATAGCCAAGATCTAAGGAAACTAAATTGCCGATCCAAGGTTAATAAAAGGCGCTAATGAAACAAATATTAAGATTGGATAAGGGTCGACTATGTATATAATGTTATTTTGTATCAATACATTTTACACATGGATAAAGGCCTTCTTGACACTAACTGACTGCAGTTTTCCTTCTTGCAACCAAAAACGACGCCAAGTTGTCTGCGACATTAGTCATCTTATTATCAATAAGTCTAATAATCAAAAGTTATCTGTATAATTGTGGGTAAAAAATTCATCATTGTCCTCAAACAATTTTTATCAAGTCAGTATTGAATAATATTGTTTGCTACATCTTTTTTCACACCTAACCGTAGGATTATGTGCCACTATATGTTACGAACGTGCTTCACCGCGTGTTAACTGTGGATGCGTGCCAAGTTCACTTAGCAGGATAAGTTTATTTGGAGTATTTAGTAGCGTAGTGTGTTCATTTACTCCTCTAAGGTGTATATCACGCCCGTACATACTATGGGATGCCAAATGATGCTCTAGGGCTAAACTATAAAGGAAAAGACCAAACTATCTATCCTCTTACCATTGACTGTATTATACTATTTTGCTATCCTGAGACAGGCCGGCGACGGGATCTTAGCTCTGTACATGAGGCTCAAGTCTGGAACCAACGTTCTCACTTTCATATAAGTAAATAGGGGTCTTTTGGCAGCACATCTGCTTTGTAACGAAAAGTTTGAAAAGTGAGTATTCTTGCAGTCACATGCGGGGTATATCTTTTCGAACAGTAGCCAGTGTTTGGAGGGAGAGGGAACACAATTTACATGGATTGTCATGTCATTGTACTATGTCACCAAGGTTTGTACCATAGGGAAAATAACCTTTCAGTGACACCAACCATTGCTTCGCCCCTAGTATAAACTACTACAGCGAAATTGACCGAAGATTTGTATCGGCTGTAAGGGACATATTCGCGGCTGTTCTATGAGCTCAAGATTGTTGAAAGCTAGTATGGCTGTCGTATGGTTGGACAGAATCTATGAGGAACAGTCTCTGAAAACGACTGCACTAACTTCTGTGAGGTCTCAGTTTATTTGCACGTGGTCAAGAAGCACTCAATTAGGTTTTGAGGAAATTTATTTTTGGAAACAGCAGTGGTTGTAAGACGAGTTAACCATGAAGGTGGCCTTAATTGGTTCCAGTAGTGCCGTCGACACATTGGATTACTACCTAAACTAAACAAATTTGGACAATACATATGGCACTCAATTGTAGAGACCAAGATTTATGGCAACTTACTCGCCAGTCCAAATTTGTAGTACTGGATGCTGGTAACTAGTCATCGGTTAAAAAATGTGATTTGAGAATGGATTGACGACAACCTAACAACATCCTACATTTTCATTTCAGTGGAGCATCGACGTAGGACTTCGCAGAAGTGGAATACCTGGTAAATCAAAATGAGATAAAAATGCTAAGTCGAGAGAACATCTCTAAAATAAGTCCCTTGTACCAGTTCGGAGGGTAAAGAATTCTAACCGCTGACTATTCTTAAATAGCAGTTACTGACTACAATCCTAACTGATATGTATCTCTCATACATTCCCAGTAGCCCCTGTCAAGTCCATGTACAGAGCGAACTTGTGATGTCCTAGAACATTAACGATACTATAGGTTATCATGGGATCACTACTGACTATCTTACATTAAATGAGATGTTTTTGGAGATTCTTGGTACAATTCGAGGTTCGAAACTCAATTTGACCTAGTGATACGCTCTGAAGTAGTATTATCCTCGCAAAGTGGATGAGAAATACTTTTCCGAACTCAGAGGTGAATTAAAAATCAGACATGCACTCACACTGTTAAATAGGTTAGTATGTTCTTCAAGGTTATTAGTGAAATATAGGCTCTACAGCCATTTTCGCCGGAGTACGGTTCTAGATAGTAAGGAAGCAGGGTAACCAACGACAGCCCTACTGAAACATCTGGATGATGTGTGGTTCACAACATCCCACAGACAAGCTACTCTACGAAGTTTAAAGTTAATCCATTTCCTGACCTCCAAAACAAATCAGATCACGAAGTATTAACACATTTTCCAGCTACAAAACGTTCCTGATGGCCTCACATCATCAGAAAGAAGTATTTCGTAAGATATACGTTGCCAGGGGTCGTTAAGGCACATTAGAAAGAGCAAAGCCACAAATACCGGAAGGCAAAAAATAAAAACGAGACATTTTGTATTGAGACAAGTAATAACTCCTACACAGAAATACGATGAAAAAAATAGCAATATGAATACTAGCCACTTCCTCCAAGTACCCTGGTACGACAGGGGTCGGTGGAGTCAGCTCGCCCTCTCGTTAGGCTCTCACATGGTCACACGTACACAGACACTGTTAGGAAAGTCCTACTCACTACCTTCTCGTGACGGGGTGATTTTGCGAAGTTGAAAGGACGGAAAGTGAATACCTGTAACCGTAACCGAGTTGGTAGATGTGGAGGATCCACGTAACGAAGTTGGAAAACCCTGATCCAAAGACACTGGTGCACATGGGCTCCTGGGGGGAACAAATAAAGTACGGACCTACTGTTGGTTACCGACTACTATGAGACTGCATATCTTGACGTAGCTCCACTGCCTTGTGGACTAGACCCCTATACCAAAGGCTCGGGGAATGTCCCCCCGAGAAAACCACCTGTGTCGGTTTGGGCACCTGGGTAGTATTCCAGCCCTCACACAAATAGAATGAATTGTGTTGCATATATATTTGGCGTCTCCTTGCACCAATGTTTATGTGTTTAAATAAATAAATTAAATCAATACTGGTTAATGGCATACTCTGACAAAATACAACCGTATGGTAAATTATGAATTATGGACGAAATACACAAAGCCAATACGGTTTATACATTATTTTGTCAGTAGAAAATAGTGTTTAAGTTCTGACTGTAGATGCACACAATATACTGGAATACAAAAGATTTTCTCTCAAATTTTCACTTTTTCGTAACTTTCTTGTTCCCTTGACCGATTGGACCAGGTTTTGCGGCTAATATTTTAGCGTCTTTCAATTTCTTTGCCTCTTCTTTTTCTTTCTGTTTAAATGCTATATCACTTTCATCCAACTCTTTTGACTCCTTCTTTGCCTGTTTTAGGGGCTTTTTCTTACCACCTTCCCGACTTGACATTCTGACTTCGAATCTTTAAAAATAGCGCCCACGTGTGCACACAACTACCTTCTTCCCTATTGGCGGATTTAAATTTGTCTATTTTCAGCTCCTTTGTATGTTACGTATTAGGAACCTTTATCTGCCAACTCCTATTTCGATTATCGGATTGTTCTAATTTTACGCTTATGTTATTACTGACTGCTGGCTATTTCCTCCACTGTAAAATGTCGATGCGCTCAATGCGTTTACTGAGTTGTCAGTCCACGTTCCCTTTTTCTTTCCTCTTCTAAATTCTCTATCACATTTAGGGCCAGAAAGAAGTGTGTGAGCCCTGGAAAAATCACCTATAAGGTTGAGGCGTTTCCACGTTAGACGATATTTCACTGTCGGTCGAGATCTAGGATGACCAGTTAGGATTGTAGTGGTAAATGAGTCCCCGAAATCAATAGCTCTGTAAGTCTTCCACACTTGGTGCTAACCACATCATTTTTAGAGGACTCACCTTGCCGAACGCGCTCGTTCATGCGTCTGAACCAGATCACGAGTTGGTATGCCATGCTTTACATCTACAACCGCTAGTCAGCTTAGATTGATCACTTCCCGATATATTGATATTCTATCAAATATATATTCGAACCCCTTCTCTTTTGACTTCTGATTTGATTGGGTCGGTATATTTCGTTTGTAAAAGGTGTTACTGGTTAAAGCGCTGTCAAACTCCGAATACTTATGGTATCCTTATGATCGATCAACTGGTTGATATGGATAGGGGATCAGGTAAAGATTCCCTCTTATACTTCTGTAATATGTTAATGACAATATTTTTGTCGCCTATTAAAATTATTTCTTCAAGCCAGTAACTTGGGAAATCCTTTCGTCTTGTTATCATGATCGCATAATCCAGGTTAAGCAGTGACCGCGAGCATCGACTTCGACGTAAATCACAGGGTCTTATCATCCCCATTCAACTCGAGTAGGCCCAGATAGTCGAACAACCACTTACGTGGACGATCTACACAAATACTGCTCCACAATCTCTTTTAATATACAAGATATCTTCAGGTTAGACAGAAACTTAAAACAGTCTGGACGTTATATAAAGGCTTAAATCGGTTTTCAGTAGTTGTTTGCCATTTTTTCTCAACATTATAATGCCTCAGACATGTGTACATGAGCTGCTTATACAAATATCCGTCATAATTTCCCCGCATTAAACATTCTCATCAGAATTAGCCAATTATTGGTTCTTCAGCACCAGTCTACGAGGTATTGGTTACAAATGGTAAGATCTGTTCAGACCACCCATGAACTTGATACAACAGATTACAAGTCACTCACATTGGGAGTTACCATTAGCCTGGGACTTTAAAATTTCTCGGGGAGATGTTAGCTCTAATGTAAGTTTAAGCATCGAACGGTTTACATTTCTGACTTAAATTCGTTTATAACGTCTCTTTATTTGCACATTTTCTTGTTATTAACTCTAAAATGTCACTTAGGCCATCTACTCAATTTCCTTCCTTAACAGCCATAGTCATGCTGAACACCGTTTGACATGAGTGATGTGCTTCCCTGTATGTGCTTCATCCTCTGTCTCGCACGTGTCACATGGCCAGATTTCTAACATACCTGGTGAAAATCTCTTTGCAAATGTTACTGGACATGATTTTATTTGGTTATCCAACATTTCGTTTAAGAATACTTCACACAATATAGTGACAGTATATTCCAAGAAGGAGCATAGATTAAAGCAATATTCACACGTACTACAAACTTAAGAGGGCCTAACATCACAAAAGGAGGTAGGGTACCCTTACTGACCAACAA